TGATGCTTTCACTATAAAAAATAAAAGACTTAGCGACAAGAACAAATATGAATATTTATAACCAGCACTTTATATAACTATCAGTAAAGACTTTAGCAAATCTGAATATAATGACATTAACTCAATTACTGATAAATATTTTTGAAAAATAGGTTACCTACCCTATTATATTATGCATGTGATGAAGATTAATACATGAAACATAAACAATGAACTAATTTAAAAAATCCCAAAAAATTACAACTTACCCACAAAAAATGTTTTTTTTTCAAACTAACTTGAAAATGAGAGGTGATGTGAGCAAAAAATTAAACCAAATCATGAAACATCTATAATAGCTAAATAAATACACATATTGATCATTTAAATGACAAATGGCAAAAAAAATAAAATATATAATTAAAAAAAGTCAAACCTTTGACAACTTTTAATTCAACTTGAGAGTATATAGGATTTTTAGAAACACAAAAGAGATGTTTTCTTAATTTCACAATGGTAACAAACAAAGCGTATATATATAGTTATCAATTTTTCTTAGTAAATTCCGATAATTAATTTTTTGACTGTATTTTTTTAATTTTTATACTATGAATATTATTATGGGATATTCCAGCTTATGCCTCACTCATAACATTGTGAAGTCCGTTTTAATTATAAAAATTGTGAAAAAGTTATAATTTTAGAGTTTAAAAGTAATTAAATATTCCCTTTGTCTCAAAATTATTTTTCATGTTTCTCTTTTACACATCTCTTAAGAGTACATTATATTTTATGTCTTAAGATATAATCTTTCTTCATTAAATATTTATCCTATCGATACGTCTGTAGTCCTCTAAAACAATCACTACTAAGGATAACGGGAAAATAATTAATTTTATCTTGATAAACTTTTAAAATGACAAATAATTTGAGACAACTATTTTTAGAAACGATAGATAATTCGAGATGAATAAAGTAACATACACCAATAGTGTAAATAATTTTTTTACAGCATCAATCACCTTTTTCAACAGCAAGTTAAAGGTAGAGAATAAGCTAACATATTTTATATTTAAGATTTTAAATCTCATATTTTTAAATAGTTATATGACAATGTTGTCGAGTTATTATTTGAAGGGAAAGAAATCAAGAATTATATTGTTGAATCAATGAAGATTTCGAAGAAGTAAGTTTGAATCTCTTTCTGAAAAAAATTTGTATATTATTTTTATTTTTAAACTATAATTATATTTTCACCAACTTATATCTTTTATAAGTTCGGCATAGAATCACTAAAATTTTATGGATATTCCACATTATATTCTTGTTGGTTGTATTCGAATTAAAAAAAATTACTTAACTAAAACTAATGAACTCTGCTTTATTAATACTTATTAATTTTAACTACTAATTGATATTTATTATGTTCAAAGTTTTGGTTTACGATTGGGGAACAATTATTATAAAATTAATTGAAGATGACATAATTAGCCACACTTAATTATGTCACAAAAGGCCGGCATTTGTCATCAAAATTTTCAACAGATGAAAACTAACATTTGTAGAAGTGACTTTAAATGTAAAAACAAGAAGAAAAAACAAAAATAACAAGAATCTTTATTCCTTTTTTTCCCCTGGATTTTATTCCTTTCAATAAATATATTTTAAAGCAAGCAAATCTACGAGAGGGTTGTGGGTGAGGGAGTTTTTAAAAAAAGAAGAAAGAATTCTAATATGGAAAAAAGGATAAATAAACCCCCAAACAGACATAAATGGTATGCAGATACCCTCCGTCATACTTTTGGGACATTGGTGCCCCTACCGTCCAAAAACTAGAGCATATATGTCCTTTCACTCTAACGGAAGACTAAATAGGGACACGTGACACAATCTTATCTATTGATCCAATATTTAATAAATGCTGGGTCGGTGGATAAGAATTTATGACACGTGTATGTCCGTTAGTATAAAGGGTATATGCTTCAGTTTTTGGACGGCAGAGGCACCAATATCCCAAAAGCATGATGGAGGGTATCTGCATATCATTTACAATAGTTTAAAGGTATATTTGTCCTTTTTCCCTTCTAATACGAGTATTGATTTTAATAATAGAAAAGTATGTTTTGTAAAAGCCAACTAGAAAAGAAAATGTTTAAAATAGATAGCTCACCTCTAGCTAATTAATAAAAGGAAAATACTCAAATATGTCATCGGACTTTGATAAAAAGCTTATCTATGTCATTTTTGTTTGAGAAAAGATTCATCCATGACATTATTTGTTAACTAAGTAGGCGTTTGGCCATGCGATATCATATCACGATATGGTGTCGTGAGATGAAATCAGCGTTTGGACATGCGATTTTACGCTGATTTCATCTCATGATTCTATATCATGAGAGGTGATATCATATTCTCCAAAAACCATGATATGGAATCACCATGTGATTTCATATCATGATTTGAGATATTTTAATACAATAATTGATCCATGAGTTTATATTTTGTTAAAACAACCCCACATTATATCTACTAACCATTTGTTTCATATGTAAATAAAATTTATAATCACATCATTACTTTTTAAAATTTATTATTCTCACCAATATAAAATTTATTATCACTTTAAATTTGGTGAATATAAATGATAAAGTAGAAATTCATTTGGTGAATATAAATGAGAACAAAGGGAGTAATACTTTTTTGATTTTTCATAATAAAAAAAAACGTCTTAATCTTATGACTAAGCATAATATTGATAAAAGACAATTTTCATTGGCGGTGCCGCACTTTCTTAATCTTAGTATTTGCAAAATGTTCGTTCACATGACTGAAGGATATCAAGTCCAATTGATTGGGGACTTAGGAAAATTTGATCAATTAGTTATTAATATCTAGTCAAGTGGACTAGTTATAATTTTTTTGATTAAATTTTATTAAAAGTGTTTTTGACTCAAACTTGTGGTAACTTTTTAAAATTTTGTTATTCAATAATATTTAACTATTGATATTTCTTGTAAATAGTTAGAAGTTAGTGATGTTTGTTAATTTTTATCTTAGTGCATTTAACTTCTAAGTTAATATTTACTCACTAATGTATGTTTTTTTTCTACTTTATAGGTTATTTGTAAGAGTAATTGAGAGATATGAACATATCAAGTACAATTTATGTTCAATTTTTTTAAATTAAATTAAAGTTAGATGAAACAATTATTTAACTGAAGAACAAATAACTTTGTAATAATTTATTATGCGATTTTATAATTTTTGTTTATTTGATATGATTGAATAAACAATTGGGGATATTTTAATAGTTTTACAACTTGTGGGATTTTTATGTTTATGAGAAAATATACAACACAAAAATTTCATATCGCATGTCCAAATTAACCTTCAATTTCATCTCATGATTCCATATCATGATACCATATCATGATTTCATATCATGATTTCATATCGCATGGCCAAACGGGCCCTAAAAATAGTTTTCATTTTGCAAAATATGTTTTTACAAAGACCATAATGCCCTTCTAAATTCCGGATTAGACTTTCCTTATTTGAACATCCCAACTTTAAATGGGCATATCTCACTCATACGAACTCGGAATCGAGTAAACTCGGCGGCGTTGGAAAGATTATTCCAAGATCTTTCCTATGATATCTGGAAGCACACCTAAATCATCCTGAACTAGGAGTTATGGTCTTTTGAAGTTGACCAAAAACTCAAACTTAACATAACTTAACAAATTTTCTAGATTTTCATTCTTTCCAAAAACAACTCTTTCTAATTCTAGCTCTTTCTAGTTCTTTCAAATGGCTAGGTGTTACAATGTGGTCAATTATGATTCGGCCACGTCATTAGTTAAATCATTATTTTAAAAGGGAAAAGGTTCAAATATGTCATCGAACTTTGAGAAAAAACTCATATATGTCATCAGTTAAAATTTTGACTCATTTATGTCATTTCAATTAACAAATAATGGCATGCATGAACCTTTTCTCAAACGAAAATGACATAGATAAGCCAAACGAATAACACAAATAAATCTTTTATGAAAATTCGATGACATATTTAAACATTTTCCTATTAATAAAACTTACTTTATAGGCTAGTCATATCAAGTTCATCTTGATGAGATAATGTTCCTTGGTTGTTACACTACTTAAGTATTGTAACAAAACCAACAAAAAAATTGGATCGATCGATTTGGTTTTATGTATTATCGGTTCGGTTTATTGGTTTTTAAATACGCTAAATCAATAAGATAATTTTTTATCGGTTTTTGGTTTATCGATTTTTGGTCATTAACGGTTCGATTTCGGTTTATTCAATAAGAAAATGCTCATAAAATAAATATATGATTTCTCACTTCTCTAATAATTTGACACCATACAGTGAGACAAGCAAATCAACTGTAAATGCTTTAATATAGTGAAACAAGAAATATAATGAGAAATTGCATCAATAAGAGTAGATGTAGTACGAAGATTACAATAACATGTTACAACCAAAACATAATATGGAATTTCTGATGTGAAGTAAAAGTACTATGACGTGTGAAGTGTGTAGACCGTAGTGTAGAGTAATGATATAGTGTCTAGTTATGTTAAATTATTAATATTTAATATTTATGAAGGGTATGATAGTACCTTACTATCGTCTTAATGAGTTATCGGTTTACCCAATAACCCAATACTAAAAACCGATAACCCAATAATTTCTTTTATAAAACTATTAAAACCCCGTTAGCCCAATAACACAATAGCAATGACCTAATCGGTTCGGTTTTTCACACTCCTACTAATGCGTGTTAATAAAAACTAATGTCATCTAAGGGTCATGCTTATGTATTATGCCTAAAATATATGTTTAACATATCACTTTTTTTTAAATAATTATAAACTGAGAAAGTCTTACTAAAATTAATTCAGATTGTTGTGAGGATTATCTAGATTCTAGCATGTATATCAATTTTGACATGAATAACACTCAAATATTAAAAACAAAAAATCATACTTTTTATTAAAAAATTGACTAAAATAAAAATAAATAAATAAATAAAAATTAGAAGGAGTAGCAGGGGATTAGCAGTGGTGAAATTGAAGAATAAGGTGTTCAGATCAATCAGTGTTTTAAGATCTGCAATGGCTCAGCCTCCTCAAATAGCCATTCTTGGAGCTGGCATTTTTGTTAAAACTCAGTATATTCCAAGATTAGCTGAGATTTCTAATCTCTTTATTCTCAGAGCTATTTGGAGTCGCACTGCGGTAAATAATGATTTTGCTTCCACTTTTAATATTTTTTCCATTTTCTTGAATTATTGTTCAAAGCTATGAATTGGGTTTTTTGTGGAAAGAGAAGTTTTTCTGCATTTGTTTGGGGATTTTAGTTTGTGGGGTTTGATAAAAAATGGATCTTTATGTAGTTTAGCTGTGGAATTGTTCCTGAATCATTGTTCAAAGCTACGAACTGAGTTTTTTCTGGAAAGAAAGTTTCTTCTGCATTTGTTTGGGGATTTTAGTTTGTGGGGTTTGATAAAAGTTGGATCTTTATGTAGTTTAGCTGTGGAGTTGCTCCTGATTCATTGTTCAAAGCTATGAACTAGGTTTTTGGTGGAAAGAGAAGATCTTCTGCATTTGTTTGGGGATTTTAGTTTCTGGGGTTTGATAAAAATGGGATCTTTATGTAGTCTAGCTGTGGAATTGTTCTCTTTCTTCCATTTTCTTGAAATTTTTCTATAGGAAACAACCTCTTTATCTGTATGAGTAGGTGTAAGGTCTGCGTACATCTAGCCCTCCTCAGACCCCACTTGTGGGATTATACTCGATATGTTGTTGTTGTTCAGAGCTAAGAACTGTTTTTTTAATTTTTTTTGTGGAAAGAAAAGAGCTTCTGCATTTGTATGCATTTGTTTAGGCATTTTAGTTTCCGGGGTTTGATAACATGGGATCTTTATGTAGTCTAGCTGTTCTTTTTCTTCCATTTTTTTTTGAATCATTGTTCAAAGCTATGCACTGGGTTTCTGTGGAAAGAGAATCTTCTGCATATGTTAATATGATAATCGAAGCGAGTAGTAATAAATCTAAGAATAAGAAAAAATACAAGAATAACACTAATACTCCTGATATGGAAAAGAAATGAGCTTGCCTACCTAGTAACCTTCTACGCTAATTCTCGACCTCCACACCTTCCTATCAAGGTCATGTCCTCAGTAAGCTGAAGTTGTGCCATGTCCTGCCTAATCACCTCAAGACATCTCTCTCCAATACTTTGGCCTACGTCTACCTCTCCTCAGGCCCACCATGGTAGTTGTTGCATTGACCTTGACAGCAAGAATTGAATTGTATGGAAACTACAAGTTATAAACTATAAAACTTCTGCTATTTGCATGCATTTGTTAGTGGATTACCTGCCTATTTGATGAAAATGTAAACTTTATGCAGTCTAGTGTAGCATTGTTCTTGAAAGTGAAAATTGGGTTGCCGGGGAAATGCACAATACTTATCTGCTGGTGTATGTTGTGGATTTGAAAATGAAAACTTTGTGTACTCTAGTTAGTGCGCTTTCTTAACATAAAAGTTTCAGCTAGATAATATCTACTGAATCTCTTTGTGTACCTTTTTCTGTCTATCAAATTATTATTTGTCGTCATCTTTACTTTCAAAGAGTCATGAGAATGTGTATATGTTTGTTAGGAATCTGCCAGAAGTGCTGTTGAAATAGCACAGAAGCATTTCCCAAATGTGGAATGTAAGTGGGGAGATGCTGGACTCGAGGAGATCATTAAGGATAGTTCCATTACTGGTGTTGCTGTGGTTCTTGCTGGACAAACCATGGTACATCTCTCTGTTTTGTCTGTATGCTTTTATATGTCATCAAAGTTCCGCATGCTCAAAGTAACTAATGTTGGCCGCTTGTATCTTATTACCCCCTCTATTTTATTTCATGCAAGGCGGTTATCACAGGGTAGGAAACTACCGTGATTTCCATTTAAGTGAATCTGGAGTATTCTGAGAGGCTTACTTTTCTCTGTAATAGCTGGCTGAATCTCTATTACCCAATTCTCAAAGTTTCTCCTGAAAGTGATAACCCAATCTGCTTGAAGCTATGTTGCTCGGACTCTTCAAAAATATCAACGGGTGCGGCAACATTTTCGGAGAGTCTGAGCAACATAGGCTTGAAGTAGGAAACAAAGTGTCATGCTTTCATTAAGAGTTTCTAGAAGACAATGAATTGCATACAATAATTCACTTAATTCTTCTTCCGTATTTTGACTTACATGATATATTTTGTTGACTTAGTTGTTATTCAGGTCAGGACCTCTATAAAGTTGTAACACTTATCTATCAACAAACATAGTTCTTTTTTTTTTTTGTTTTTTGGCTACAATAGGAATCACAGTAAATTGTGAAGAACTTGGGAGTCGTTTGGTGTGAGGTATAACGTATAATAATCCAGGATAAAATGTAGGATTATTTTATCCTGCGTTTGGTTGGACTATGCGATTACTCATCCCACCATTTATACCATAGTGATGGGATAAGTTATCCCATATATATATGGTGGGATAACTTATCACGGGATAGTTAATCCCATGATAACTTATTCCCAACCAAACGATCCCTTAGAGAAACAGCAAACAAGGACATAGTTAAAAGATCATTGATGTCAGGAGTTGCAATATCTGGGAAAAGGAAATTTTTATCAAATAAGTCCTGACTGTACTATTTATTAAAAGAAGACCCGAAATCACAAGAAGATTTTCTATCACATGGAAGGGCAAATGTCTTCACTATCAGCATTACACTTAATGAAATACAGTTATTTCAGAAAATTATATTTGATATTTGCATCAATTCATGCAGGTGGATATGTCACTGAGGTTGCTTAAGGCAGGAAAGCATGTCCTTCAAGGTAATTGCATAAAAAGTTGTGATAAATGGTGTATTTTTTTTAACGCTTCTCTTTTGTACTTGTATATTTGGATAAGCTACCTTAAGTAGGTTGGATGGGGCATGGATAGTGGCCAGACATTCTTTTTGAAGAAGTTTATTTTCTATAAAAGTTTCAATGTTTTTTACCTTGTCAATAAAGCAGGACACATACTTGCTTTTAGTGCTCTATGAATAGTTGAAATAAACGTGCTCGTTTCTGTGTGATGTGCAATTAACTAACCAGTGTGTATTTGCATATCCTCTGTTGGCGAAATTGGGATACTCCAGAGAAACCAGCTTCCGCAAGTAAGATGCAGTTTTATTTCATTGAACTTATGAATGCCGATGTTTCTCTTATCAATTTTATTTCTGTTCGAAATGCATTTAACTAACCAACTTCTAGAATTATTCCTATCCCTCTATTCGACTTTTCAACATTAAATGTATTCTGCTAGTACTTTTCAACAATCTAAATTCTCAGGAGCCAATGTCATATGCTTAGTTTATCGTATACCCGAAAAAGAAAAAGTGAGAATCTATGTTTTTTGTTGTGTACAGCTCCATTTTTTCTTTTGGAACGTCTGAGATTGCATTCCTTCCTCTAAATTCCAAAAGATACATGCAGGAATGGTTCCCATAGGATCTTGAGTTTCTTGTTGATCCTTTGTCCTTGCCAGAAAAACTAGAGTTCCCTTCACTGTTCTTGGCCGGCCATTATGCTACTTGAAAATTTAAAAACATACCATAATCTACAAACAGCTACATCTGCAACCAACAAACAGATGGTCTGGGAGCTCAGCAAAATTTACACTCAGGAAAGATCTACTGAAGATATTTATCTCTCTCCTCTGTATATTACCAGAGTTTGGCATGCTCCTTCTGTAGCTATCCATGTGAAAGAGACATTGATAGTGCTCATGTTCTCGAGATACTAGTGAAGCCAAATAGATTGTGGACTATCTTCCTCTATCCTTACCTTTGATACCAACTAAAAAATAGCTACTTTTCTTGTTAAACCGCACGTAATATAAACCGCTAGAATTGACAGAGAAGTCTGGTAAATCATAATTTAGTCATTTTCTTGCCTGCTGTATTAAAACTGGTACGGTTTCTAGATTAAATTGCATTACGTGAGAGAGGATTTGGTTGTTTCATTTCAAAAGTACTCCTCAGTCCTCAGCTTATCAATGCAGCCAAAGATCTGGAATTAAGTCAAGGAAAACGAAAGATCATGTTTTCACCTTTATATAACTGAGATTGGTCTATTTATACAGCTGTGGACGAGGCTGAAAAAGCATTGACTCACTATAATTCTCTTAGCGCCACATTGACTCAGCAACCAATATGGGCCGTTGCAGAAAATTATCGCTTTGAACCTGCCTTCATTGAGGTAATGTTAATGGTGTTGTGATCTTAATTTTCAATGTGCCTTCATTGAGGTAATGTTAATGGTGTTGTGATCTTAATTAATTATTGTCTTATACAGGGCAAGAAGTTAATTTCTGAAATTGGAGAAATGATGAATATCCAAATAATTGTTGAAGGAGCAATGAACAGCTCAAATCCTTACTTTGCTAGCTCCTGGAGACGCCAGTTTGTTGTGAGTTTTTCACTAAATGATATATTAGCTTCTCTATCTTGCAAAAAATTAAGAATCGGCTTGACTTCTTGAATATCAATGAGGAAAATGTTCCTTTTAAAAATGGCTTCATTTAGTGTAGATCCTGATGTGCTCTTCTGTCATACATGCTAAATAACTTTAAATCTAACATTTGGCACAAATTAGTATAGTGTTGAATAGTTGGAGTCCCGAACCAAAATGACGCCAGAACTATTTTTGTGACGAAAATGAGTGCCAAAAACTAAACATAACTGACGTTCCAAGTTAACGGCTGTTATGCCATGTTTGACCAACTATAATGCATGAAATTCATGTGTTATGTTCAATTATTCTGACTGCGTTATTGACCAGATTATCCTGCTACCCGTAATTGGAACACACATAACTTGAAAATTCATGTGTTATATAGTTGGTCAAACTTGGCCTAACAGACGTTAGCCTGGAACGTCAGACTTGGCACATTTACCACATGAAATTCATGCGTTAACGTTATTTTTGTTATTTCGTCACAAAAGTTTTTTTTGCGTCATTTCGGTTCTGAACTCAAAGATCTTTTGTGTAGTTTTAAGTTCAATGGAAGCATGTCCGTTCTGTGCATTGTCTACTCTCTTTTGGTTTAAATTCTCTTTGACAATCTCATTTGATTTCTTCAGGGTGGTTTCATTCTAGACATGGGTGTACATTTTGTAGCTGGACTTAGGATGGTAATCTTCTCGCTTACAACTCAAAGCTTCTTCGATTATTAATAAGAACTAATGTCCTCTCCAAATGAACAGCTTGTTGGATGTGAGATTACATCATTGTCATCCATGAATTCTCATGTGGATAAGACTTTGCCTCCTCCGGATAACATCTCGTCAATGTTGTGAGTTCAAGACTATTATCCTCATCATACTAAGGATATGATTTAATGAAGTTGAATGAAATCATGACGAACTTTTCTTCTATTCAGTCAACTGGAGAATGGGTGTTCCGGAGTTTTTGTGATGGTGGTATCTTCGAAGTCACCAAAGGCAAGTAATATACTAACTAAACACTGTTTTCTCCAGAAAATATTTTACGTGACAAACATATCTGTAGAGCGGTAATTGCTGATTAATTTATGCTTTTCACATCTTTAGGTAATCTGGCGAGTTGTGGGTTTAAACGGAGTGCTGCAAGTTGACCGTGGTAACAAGGATGGAAAGCATGGCTACTCAGTAATTCGGAAGCTCTTATATAATGTCTTTCCCTTCACAAAGGACAATTCACATATCTTTCGTCTTTAATTTGCTGTCCCAGGTTTCCCTACATATGGCTGATGGTCAAAGCAAGAGCTTCTTTTATCCGTTTAGCGGGGTCACTGATGAACTGAAAACATTTCTATCAGATGTATCAACGGCTAACCTGAAGGTAAAATGCTTCCTGAAGTTCTCATTTCCTTTTTTTTTTAGTGACCTACAAATTATTAGTCGGATAGATTCTGCTTCGCGAAGGGTACATATATTTTAGGCATAATACATAACCAAACACTCAAACTCGGCCTCAACTGGCAAGTAAACACTCCCACTTTGAGTATGCACGCACATCTAGACATCTCACGTTCTGTTTGCCCATTTGTCTAGGGAAATGAACAGTCATTTTCCCCATCCCTATTGTCCGTTTTACTCTTTCTAAAAGTCCTATGTTTTTGTATAATATTGGTCCGAAATGAGCTTAAGTGGAGTGACAGAGTCGTGGATGATTCGTATTGTCAACCCTAACTTGATTCAATCAGAGGTGGCATAATAGTAGTAATAGTACAGTTGTTGTTGCAGTGTTAACCTGATCTTTTGCTTGCATTCGCGCTATATTGAACTTCTTTTTTCATGCAGAAGGACCATAGCTCACACATCGATCCTCGTCTCTCATTTGCTGAAGGTGCTCGTGATGTTGCTGTTTTGGACGCGATGCTCGAATCAGGAAAGAGACAAGGAGCTCTGGTTCAAGTAAAAAAGTTCTAATTTTACGCAGGCCTTACGCTCCTTAAATATGTCATGCACATGATTCTTGATCTTCGTACCATGAAGCAAATACGCTACTGGAAATAACAAAAAAAGAAGGATCGATCGAAGATCACTCTCTCTCTTCTGTGAGCTACATCTTGGTTTCATCATCTTGTTGTCTATAAACTCGACTAGTAGTTTACCGGATAAATTGATTTGTCGGGCATTCCTGGCCCACCTAGCGAAACATGTGGTTTCGTGGTTATGACCAGCTAAGGCTAAAGTTCCATTAAAGGGAGTTTTGATTCCTTGGTTAGAGCCATTGTACTCTTTTTGACCTTATTTTAGCATCTTTGGTAGTTGAATGATCAGTAATATCATTTAAACCCTCAATATGCTCGATTAATTTAGATATTAACAGTCTACTAACACCAGAAAAACAATCATTATCGAGTAACCATTCTGTTAATTCAAACATCATTTCCTGTCTACCCAAAACTCCTAAAGTATTAGCGCAATTTAGAATTATAGGACTACTATCTATCACTATTTCGAACAAAATTTTTACATCTTGCAAAGTTATGGTAGCCTCGAGGGTTCGCATGTGAAAGATATGCGTTTCTGGACATCAACTTTCAATTAAAGCTGAAATTAGTCTGGAGTCATACAACATATATCCAATATCAATAATTCCTTTAAACTTACAATTTTCAAAATACTAATGAATGCGAGGATGTAATTGACGATATTTTATATGTTGCCAAAATTCAAGATGCATGTGACTTGTAAGTTTTGTTTTTATATGGCATGTGAATTTAAAGTGCAGGCTACAGTTACAATTTAAAAAAAAAGGATTTTTTTAACAAATCACTGTTCAAGCAGCGATTATTATAAAATAAAATAAAATTGGGGATATTGCTGCCCCAGCAGCAATTTTTAATTTTTTTTTCTTTTTTGGGGAAATCCCGGCCCCAGAAGCGATTTGCAGTTTTCTTTTTTTGGGAAATCGCTGCCCCTGCAACGATTTTAATTTTTTTTTAAAATTTCCTTGATGGGTAGTGATTATAATTAATTTTTTTTACAGCGATTTTCTTAAGGAAATTTTATTTTTTGACGGTGTTAACGGAGGTTAAAAATGAACAAAGATATCATTGATGGAGTAGCGATTTGTCCGTTTTGGTACTAAAAAATATAGTGGCCCTTTATACATTTTGGAAGAAAAAAGTGATCTTTTTGGCTCCGGACTCTGAATAATTATTTGTAGAGAAATCAAAGTCTTATTACATTATCACGGAGGGTTGTGGTGAGATATATGGATATGATTTCTCCATTCTCTGGTGTATAGAAAAAATCTTGAAAGGGAGCACTTCCCCAGTAATGAGTCTTACACGATGCAAATTTAGATTAATCGGGCCCCTAAACACCAGATGCAAAACAAAAAAAAACACAACCTTATTGCATGAACGAATAAAGGAGAACCAAAAAAAAGATTTCTTGTCAGAAGAAAATAAATAAAGGAGAGTAATTGTTATGAATTCCTCTATCCTTGACCAGAGGTCTTGAATTCAAGTCTCTGGAAAATGAAACTATCTTAGGTTCAAGCCAAGGGAATGTTTAATTTTAATTAAGAGCATCGCCTCAGGAAATAAGCTCTGCAATACACAAATTTGGATTTAGATGAGCCTTTGATATGAGTATCGAACATCGATTGAAATAGAAAAAAAGAGTAGATAGGAAGAAAATGACTTGTATTTTAAACCAACCACACCTAAGACCTAACTTATAGAGAAACTTATAGACAATTTTCTTACCAAGACCAATTGAAGATTATTTATTGACAAATGAACAAATAGCACGTTACTTATTGAGTCAAGTAGATGATTTTGGACCCTTTTTGAAAGCAATCTCTTATATTTTTTTTTATTGGGGTTGAAAATTGAAAGCTTGGACCAATTGAATTCCTTCTTGAAAATAAAATAAAATTTCAGTTTGGATATATTTTTTGTGTGGGTAGAAAAGATAGATAAGAAATAGAGAAAAAAAAAAGTTGTTAGGAGCAATAGGATTCTTGTTTTAGACTCAAATTCTTTATAGAGTGAAATGTAAAAATTATCTCTAAAAGTTTTTTGATTTTTTGAGTTTTATATCTGAATTATCGTATGTGAGTTTTCTAATTACACTATCACCAAAGTTCAAATGTTTATCGAAACACACCTCAACTATCTATCATTTATTTCTCCTACTTAGAATATCGTCATCATCATTCAGGTAGGAAAAGGGAACAATTGATAGTTGAGGTGTGTTTCGATAAATATTTGATGATAGTTCAGGTAGAAAACTCGCACATCTGATAGTTTAAGTATGAAGCTCGAAAAATTAAAATACTTTAGATGTGTTTTTGAGCATTCACTCTTCTTTTTAGGGAAAATGCATAAGTACCCCCCAGCCTATGCCCGAAATCCCAGAGACACACTTAACCTTTACTAAGGTCCTATAACCCCCCCGAACTTATTTTATATGTAATATTCTATCCCTTTTTGGCCTATGTGGCACTATCTTGTGGGCCAGCGCATGTTGACAATTTTTTCAAGGATAGTGACACGTAGGCCGAAAAGGGGTAGAATATTATAGATAAATTAAGTTCAGGGGGGTAATAGGACCTTAGTAAAGGTTAGGTGTGTCTCTAGGATTTCGGGCATAGGCTGAGGGGGTACTTATGCATTTTCCCTTCTTTTTATAGTCTAACTTCCCAATGTGCATGAAGTAAGTTTCCTAAGGAATCTCTTTAATCACACGAGAGATAATGGTGAAAGACACATCTAAACTATTTTATTTTTCGTGAGTTTCACACTCCAACTATCAACTGTGCTATTATCTTTTTAAAAAAGAACAACTGAAATTGATGTGTGAAACTTGCGAAAAGTGATACGTTAGCTGTTTTTTTTTTTACCATTGACTCAAAAAAATGTTATATGTATACCTAATCAACTAATAATATCTTTATTATTGTAGCATGTGTTAACATCATTTTAGTCCAATTTTAATGTTACCTACATCATTGAATAAGATGGTGACTTTTAAACACAATTTAAACCTTCTTTCATGTAATTATTCCAATATCAACATAAACATACCCATTTAATTTATAATCATATTCAATGTATGTTAGTTCAAACCTATTATTTCTAAATAATATGTCATTTTTATCCTAGATTAAAGAAACAAGAGAAAATATTACTACTAGGAAAAAGAATAATCTTTTCATCAAAATTATACTCGTCATAATTGTTTCTGACATATTTTCTATCAAAATTTCTAGATTTTTTGATGAATTTCAGTTAGATACCATCTAAGTTTACACATTGAAAAAAAATAATCTTTGATTGACAATTTTCGAAGAGTCTACCAATGTCTTTTTCATCAGTCTCATCATTGTTTCTTGATAAATGGTTACATTTTCATACTCGTTGGATAATAGACACTCTACTCTTAATTCACTAAAAGGCCTTTATATATCAAACTTGATTTATTAGTAAAATTCAAATCCATTACATGTCTTCATCGCGATACAAATTAAATATGCAAATCACTCTGAAAATACGTTACGAACCAGTTGAAACACTCAAAACATCGATCCAAAGCCACCAATCAATTTTTTTTCTCAAATAGGACATGTGATATATGCAAAATATTAAGGACCAAAGTTAGTTTTTTTTTATGTATCTTTTAAAGATCACATGAACAATGCAAATCCAGGACTTATTCTACAACAAATATTTTATGTACATTTTTAATTTACAAATCAACCCCAAAACTTTTGTTAATTACACATTTGTCCATATAAATTTAAAATTTATACTGTTCTTCTCTTAGTTATAACTACCCAAAACAACTCACTTTTGTTTTCTTCAACTGCCTCTTGAAGTAAGTTATCATTTCTTCAATTTTCTTCTTTTCCTATAATCACTAAAAATTTGTGGAAAAAAATCAATTTTTTTTAAAAAAATCTTTGTTATTATTTTTCTTCCATTTTCTGAACTCTATGCAATTGTTGATTTTCAAGAAATTTGAAAAAAATGGTATATGGTTTTTGTTACTATGACAAACTTTTATTTTCTTATAATAATGAAAAAAAAACAATTTTTTTTAGCATTGTTAGGTTTTTTTCCTCTGTTTTTAAGAAGAAGAAAATTATTATAGTTCTTGATTGTTTTATTTCCATTTTTTTTTTGCAGATTTTTGATCAATTTTCTATCTAGTAATCATTGAAGCAATTTGATCTTGAAAAGGTATTTTGATAATATAGTAGCATTGCTATTTTGATCACCTCGTATGTTTTGTATTTTCTCTATAATTCTTTAAATTCTTCTTATGGGACTAGTTTCTTGTCCTTCAGTTATCGCATTATTTTGTCGTTGTTAAATGCTATATAATGTTTTCCCTATCCTTTGCTTTTGTATTTTCTTTTTTTCAAACTGCTTTGATATGCGTTACTTGAGGGTCTGTCGGAATTACAAACTATCTATCTTCATGAGGTAGGGGTAAAGTCTTTACACGTTAATGTCTTTCCACTTCTAGGGTTTCACTGGATATGTTGTTGTTGTTGTTCTTATCATACTTTTGTTTGATCAATATTTGATAGCTTTCATTTATATCTCCAAAAATTTGTCCTACTAAAATTCTTTTTTAGTTGTTCTTGTGGTACCTAAGTTTTGTGTTATAGAAAAATTTGTTAACTTATAGCTATTGAGCCTCAAAGTTTATGTCTTTATGTGATCACAGAGTCAAAAAGATGTCTCGAGGTTCTATATCATCATAATAGGTGTAGATGGGGTGATCGGAGTAATTATTTCTCACTTGATGTCTCAAGGAAACCTATAGAAGGTGAGCCCCGAAGCAAGAGGGGAAACGAAACGGGGAGCTAATATTCCCATAGGAAAAAGATAAAAGTTGATCATAAGAAGGGAAAAATGCAGAAAGGTTCAATACATGAAGAGTTTGCTTTAAAGCAAACAGCTCCGAAAATTGTTGGATCAGGGGTGATGATAGGAGGAGATAAGGTAACCGTTGCCTATGACCTCGTTGAGCAAATGGAGTATCTCTATGTTCGCGTTGTCAAGGCTAAAGAGTTAACAAAGGATGTTACAGGGAGCTGTGATCCTTATGTTGAAGTAAAAGTTGGAAACTACAAGGGCATCACGAAGCATTTCGAGAAGAAAATCAACCCTGAATGGAATTATGTGTTCGCGTTCTCTCAGGATAGGCTTCAAGCTTCTTACATTGAAGTATGTGTGAAAGATAAGGATGTTGTGTTGGATGATATGATAGGAAGAGTCGTGTTTGATCTCGTTGATGTACCGAGAAGAGTTCCACCGGATAGTTCATTAGCCCCACAATGGTATAGGATAGAAGATAAAAGAGGTGAAAAGTTGAAAAAAGGGGAAATCATGCTTGCTGTTTGGAGAGGAACTCAAGCAGACGAGGCGTTTTGTGATGCGTGGCATTCGGATGCAGCAGCTGTGGGAAGTGAGGGGATTTCAAGAATTAGAGGAAAGGTATATCTTTCTCCTAGACTTTGGTATATCAGAGTTAATGTCATTGAATGTCAAGATCTGCTTCCAAGTGAAAAGAATCGACAACCCGAGTGCTGTGTGAAGGTTATGTGTGGGAATCAGGTCTTGAAAACGAAAATTTCTTCGATTAAAAGTTGCAATCCAATGTGGAATGAGGACTTGGTTTTTGTTGTAGCTGAACCATTTGAAGAGCCTTTGGTTATAACTGTGGAGGATAAAGTTGGATCGAATTTCGAGTTTTTGGGAAAATGTGTGCTTCCTTTAAGCATTGTCCCTAGAAGGCTTGACAACAAACCTGTTCCTTCTAAATGGCACAATCTTGAGAAGCATACAGTTGTAGAAGGGGAAAAAAAAGAGACTAAATTTGCTAGTAAGATTCATATGAGGCTTAGTTTGGATGGTGGATATCACGTGTTGGATGAATCGATACATTACAGTAGTGATTTCAAGCCAACGTCGAAGCTTTTATGGAAATCCAGCATTGGACTACTTGAATTGGGGATAATAAGTGCAACAGGATTGTCAGCTATGAAGTCCAAGGATGGACGAGGGACGACAGATGCCTATTGTGTAGCTAAGTATGGGCCAAAATGGGTTCGTACAAGGACAATCATCGATAACTTGTCACCACAATGGAATGAGCAGTACACTTGGGAAGTACATGATCCTTGTACTGTAATCACAGTAGGAGTGTTCGATAACGGATACCTACAAGGGGGGAAATGTACGAGCATTGGAAAGGTGAGGATTAGGCTCTCGACACTTGAAACAGAGAAGGTATACACACATTCCTACCCTCTTATTGTCCTGCATCCATCGGGCGTTAAAAAGATGGGAGAAGTTCAACTAGCTGTGAGGTTTTCGTGTATGTCTTATGTCAATATGTTGTCTAAATACGCTCAACCGTTGTTTCCAAAGATGCATTATGCTCATCCAATGTCTATCAGTCAGCAAGATTTCCTCAGGTTCCAAACTATTCAAATACTTTCAACGAGGCTAGGACGAGCAGAGCCACCGTTGAAAAAAGAGGTCGTGGACTACATGCTAGATGCTGGTTCGCATATATGGAGCGTAAGGAGAGCTAAGGCTAATTTTTTCAGATTAATCTATGTTGTGAGTCCACTATTGGCTATTGGAAAATGGTTTGATCAAATATGTCATTGGAAGAATCCGATCACAACAATTCTAATCCATATACTCTTTGTTATATTAGTCCTTTACCCTGCATTGATTGTTCCTACATTCTTTCTTTACCTATTCTTGATTGGTATTTGGCACTATAGATTGAAACCAATACATCCACCTCACATGGACATCCATATTTCACATGCTCACGGTGTTTTCCCCGATGATTTGGATGAAGAATTCGATACATTCCCAACATCAAGAGGCTCGGATAAGGTGAGGATGAGATATGATCGTTTGAGGAGCATTGGAGGCAGGATTCAGACCGTGATAGGGGACTTAGCGACTCAAGGGGAAAGGTTTCATTCATTGTTAAGCTGGAGAGATCCAAGGGCATCGGCTTTGTTCGTGACATTCTGTTTGTTTGCTGCAATAGTCATGTATGTCACACCATTCCAAGTTGTCGCGCTTCTCATTGGAATCTACGTGTTAAGGCACCCGAGATTTCGCCATAAACTTCCTCCATTGTCTACTAGTTTCTTCAAGAGGCTGCCTGCAAGAGCAGACTGTATGTTGTAGACTTATAGTTAAGTAAATATTTGGTTTAAGAAGGTAGAAAATGAAGCAAAACTGAACTTGAGATCACAAAGTTCTATTATTATTATTTTTGTAATTTGACTTCTTTGAAGCTACTAATGTGTAATGTATTTGTTAAATTTGATTAACCTTATTACTGATCTTTTAGAAAATGAAATAAACTACAATAACGCCCATTGAAATCTCACAAGTAGAGTCTGGAGAGGGAGAGTGTAAGTAGATCGTTTCCCCATTTTATAACGCCCATTGAAATCTCACAAGTAGAGTCTGGAGAGGGAGAGTGTAAGTAGATTGTATCCCTTACCTTATAACAAATAATTACGCCTCTTGTTTTTATACAACAACACTAATTACATCTCAATCCCGGAAATAATTTATATTAAAAGTTTTCTAACAAGTTTATAAAACCTATTTCCAACTAATGGATATCATCTATGTGGATCTTTTTCTTTCATTATGTTCTATGTTTAGTTAAGTCTGCATTGATTTCACTGGATTTGTAGGACATTCAATTCAACTTTCTTTTGATGTAATTTTACGTCTACCCAATCCCTTTTTAATATATTCAGTGCTATAGTTTCATACCTATGGACATATGTATCTATAGGCAGTACATGATCAAACCATTTCAAGCGACTTTAATTTCTCTTATTTCATCCTCAACACGTGCTACTTGCACCTTTTCTCATTTTATTAATCTCAGTGCGTGTTACTTGCACATGCACACCTTTTGGAGAATATAGTCATTTTTAATCTTAAATAATTTTTTATGATCGCACATTTATTTAGCATATTCATGTGTACAACACTTATATCTTGCAGATATATATATATATATTATACTTCACGGGCTCAACATTCACTATCATATAACATTATCGGTCTTTATGTATTAGTGTAAATAATATGCCCCTTGTCACACCAATTTTATATTATAGCCGTTTCCCCCTTGCTTATAAGAGTTTTGTTATTATACTAGATATAGGACCCCGTGCCAGCACGGGGCCCAATATATATATTTTTTATTATTTTAATTTATGTCATATTATGGAATTTGAGAAGTTATTGAAATTTTTATATGATTTTAAAGATATTTTAAATTTTTAGCTATTGTGATTTGTAGTACTTTTTTTTAACATAATTTTGAAAAAAATATTTATTACTCTGTTTGTTCTAATTTATGTGGCACACACAAAATTTCAAATATTAACCATTTTTTATATGTCTCTTTAATATATTAAGTTGTTAATTATTGTATTTTATTGTACATTTTGAACCTAATTTTTTAATAATATATGTTATTTGCCATGTCCCAATTTATGTGGCATTAATTGATAGATTTGTTGGAGTCGAGAGATTTATTTTGTTAATTATTGTAATTTATATTTTTTTTTTCCAGTCAATTTCAAACAATATATGTTGTTAATTGATAGAATACTTTTAATGTAATTTATTTTAAAAAATATGTGTGACTCTCCATGTCCCAATTTATATGGCACATGTAAAGTTTTGACAATTAACCAAAATTTTAATACATTTAAAAAAATATTTTTAAGTCTTTAAATTTTAAGTAATAAGTAATTTAAATTGTTGTATTATTTATTACAATTTATAATACTTTTAAAGTAATTAAAATATTGTACTATTTATTATGATTTATAACACTTTTTAAAAAAAAATTATGTCATATTATGGAATTTGAGAAGTTATTGAAATTTTTATATGATTTTAAAAATATTTTAAATTGTTAGCTATTGTGATTTGTAGTACTTTTTTTTAACATAATTTTGAAAATAATATTTATTAATCTATTTGTTCTAATTTATGTGGCAGATGCAGAATTTCAAATATTAACCCTTTTTTATATGTCTCTTTAATATATTAAGTTGTTAATTATTGTATTTTATAGTACAGTTTGAACCTAATTTTTTAATAATATATGTTATTTGCCATGTCCCAATTTATGTGGCATTAATTGATAGATTTGTTGGAGTCGAGAGATTTATTTTATTAATTATTGTAATTTATAATTTGTTTTTCGTCAATTTCGTCGACTATTTTTTTTATTAATTATTGTAATTTATTGTTTCTTTTTCGTCAATTTCAAACAATATATGTTTATCATATAATCCATTTTATGTGGTACCAATAGAATTTAGAGAGTCAATTAAATTTTGTATATAAGTTTTAAATAATTAAGCTGTTAATTATTGTAATCTATAGTATTACTTATAGTATTTTTAAATATATTTAAATATTATATGTTAGGTTTTTTATCCTAATTTATATGGCATTGATAGAATTTAAAGTGTCAAATAATTGTTAATTATTGTAATAGATAATATGGAGTATTTAAGTCATTTATAGTATAGTATAATTAATATATAATATGTAGTATTTAAGTGTTATATTATGGAATTTGAGAAGTTATTAAAATTTTTATATTATTTTAAAAATATTTTAAATTGTTAGCTATTGTGATTTGTAGTACTTTTTTTTTACATAATTTTGAAAATAATATTTATTACTCTATTTGTTCTAATTTATGTGGTACGTGCAGAATTTCAAATATTAACCATTTTTTATATGTCTCTTTAATATATTAAGTTGTTAATTATTGTATTTTATAGTACATTTTGAACCTAATTTTTTAATAATATCTGTTATTTGCCATGTCCCAATTTATGTGGCATTAATTGATAGATTTGTTGGAGTCGAGAGATTTATTTTGTTAATTATTGTAATTTATAGTTTCTTTTTCGTCAATTTCAAACAATATATGTTGTTAATTGATAGAATACTTTTAATGTAATTTTTTTTTAAAAATATGTGTGACTGTCCATGTCCCAATTTATATGGCACATGTAAAGTTTTGACAATTAACCAAAATTTTAATACATTTAAAAAAATATTTTTAAGTCGTTAAATTTTAAGTAATTTAAATTGTTGTATTATTTATTACAATTTATAATACTTTTAAAGTATTTTAAATATTGTTCTATTTATTATGATTTATAACACTTTTTTTTAAAATTTATGTCATATTATGGAATTTGAGAAGTTATTGAAATTTTTATATGATTTTAAAAATATTTTAAATTGTTAGCTATTGTGATTTGTAGTACTTTTTTTTAACATAATTTTGAAAGTAATATTTATTACTCTATTTGTTCTAATTTATGTGGCAGATGCAGAATTTCAAATATTAACCCTTTTTTATGTCTCTTTAATATATTAAGTTGTTAATTATTGTATTTTTTAGTACATTTTGAACCTAATTTTTTAATACTATATGTTATTTTCCATGTCCCAATTTATGTGGCATTAATTGATAGATTTGTTGGAGTCGAGAGATTTATTTTGTTAATTATTGTAATTTATAGTTTCTTTTTCGTCAATTTCAAACAATATATGCTGTTAATTGATATATTTTTTGGAGTGGACTATTTTTTTTATTAATTATTGTAATTTATTGTTTCTTTTTCGTCAATTTCAAACAATATATGTTTATTATATAATCTATTTTATGTGGTACCAATAGAATTTAGAGAGTCAATTAAATTTTTTATATAAGTTTTAAATAATTAAGCTGTTAATTATTGTAATGTATAGTATTACTTATATTATTTTTAAATATATTTAAATATTATATGTTAGGTTTTTTATCCTAATTTATATGGCATTGATAGAATTTAAAGTGTCAAATAATTGTTAATTATTGTAATAGATAATATGGAGTATTTAAGTCATTTATAGTATAGTAATTAATATATAATATGTAGTATTTAAGTGTTATATTATGGAATTTGAGAAGTTATTGAAATTGTTATATGATTTTAAAAATATTTTAAATTCATAACTATATATTTCAATGTACAAGATTTTGATAAAATAAAATCTTTAAAGTTAAATTATAATGTTTTTGAAATTTAAATTATTAAAACATATATAATGATTTTATAGAAAAAATAATATCATATAAAATTAAATGAAAAGGATAATAAATTCAACTTTTACCATGAAAAGGTTGAAAAATATTATTTAAGTGGAAGGAGGTGGGGCCCACTTATATATTTTATATAGTAAATATTGGACATTTGTAATGATTTAATTGGAACAATGGTAGTAAATCCTAGACTCTTCTAATATATACTAGATAAGGGTGCCCGTGCAAGGCACGGGCAATATTAATTAGCCCTACGTGGTCATTTTTGATTGATTTGGTAGTATTTGAGAGCAAAAAAATGTGCTAAAAGAAAGAAATATTAATTAGTCCTACGTGGCCATTTTTGATTGGTTTGGTAGCATTTGAGAGCAAAAAAAAAGTGCTAAAAGAAAGAAATATTAATTAGCCCTACGTGGCCATTTTTGATAGGTTTGGTAGTATTGGTATGAGCTCTTTTAAGGAAGAAAATGACGGGAATACCCTTGGTAGTCGAAGGGAACCACCACTTATGATGATGATGATATGATGAGAATAACATAAAATAATATAAAGAAATATTAATTAGCCCTACGTGGCCATTTTTGATAGGTTTGGTAGTATTGGTAGGAGCTCTTTTAAGGAAGGAAATAACGGGAATACCCTTGGTAGTCCAAGGGAACCACCACTTATATAGTATATAGTATAAAATTGGCCATTTTTGATAGGTTTGGTAGAATTGGTAGGAGATCTTTTAAGGAAGGAAATGACGGGAATACCGTTGGTAGTCCAAGGGAACCACCACTTATATAGTATGAATGATGATTATTATATATGATGATGAAGAAAGAAATATTAATTAGCCCTACGTGGCCATTTTTGATAGGTTTGGTAGTATTAGTAGGAGCTCTTTTAAGGAAGGAAATGACGGGAATACCCTTGGTAGTCCAACGGAACCCCACTTATATAGTATGATGAAAACAATATAAAATAATATAAAGAAATATTAATTAGCCCTACGTGGCCATTTTTGATAGGTTTGGTAGTATTGGTAGGAGCT